AGTTCATGAATAAGAAATGACAACAACTATGGAAAAATAACTCTTTAAAATGGAATGTTATGCCTTCTTTGTGTAAATGTCAACTCATTATTTTCATGTTATGCATGTTACTTCCAGTAAAATCCTGTACGAAAAAGTTACTAATACTTACATATGCAGACACTCTGAAGACTGTAGAAATAATACATATTTCTTTTGTTTCAGGATTCTTTCGAACGCTGAAATACAGGGGAATAATGCATACTTAATATGTACAGTAAGCACTAATTATTAGAATCCTTAATTTAATAAATACATTTTTGACATATGCACTGTGTTCTTGGTCAGAATTGATCAAATTCAAATTAATAGTTAAAAGTCAACTTACATCACATTGACCACGAAAAGGTATTTTGACCATTGTTACAGAACATGGATATTATGACATTTTACTGAAAACTATTGGACATATCTAGTTATCTGAGTTGGTTTCACTGTTTCCATCTGCTAAATAACAGCAACATTACCCAGGCTAGGTGACTCCAATATAACGTTTGCATTTTGATAGCCACGACAAGTTATTCACCTAAACATTTTGTAAAAATCTTTTCACATATTCTTTGAGAAAAAATCTCTACGAAGGGAACTGCAACTTAATACAGACTCCAAGAAGAAGCAGTAGTACTGGTGAAGAATGCAGACTTTATCTCATTTTTAAGTAATGTATAATTATAGTTTATGTTCCTTTTTTCTCTTTTGGAATGTTGTATATATAGAGAGCTATGCAACTTAAAATGGTGGTATTAGTTCTGAACTTTTGTGTTTCTAGACTGTGTTTGTTGTGAAGACTGCCATTTCTTCCATCACAATTACTAATAACACTAAGATATTGTTGCAAAGCATCCAGGCATCTCAACATATTTTAAACTTAAGTATTTTAAAATGTGTCATTTTTTCTCAGGTCTGCTCTAAGCGATGTTTACATTTCTTCATAAATTAGATCATGGAACTTCTATTAATTTATCTAATTTCACAAATTTCTATGTACATTAACTCACTATGGAGCAGTTGAGCCTTCTAAATTCCATACTTACACAGTTCCAAGAAATGCATAGCTCAAAACCTGCCTTGTCACAAACAGGTTCAGTCTGGGGAAAGGTCCCCGTTCAGCCAAGTTGCCAGAGGATGTGTGTCAAACACAGCCCGGTTGTACACCGCCCCCAGCTCCAAGCTGTCTGAGACAACAGCCACCTATTCCCACTGCTTTCACAAAGCTCCTTTTTATAAGAACAAACCAAACCCAAAGCAACCAACATCGTCTTTGTTGATTCAGTCTCTCCAACCAATAAAAGGAATTGACTCTCTGGTTAACTGGTTTCGTCTGAAATGACACAGTCATGTATGAACTAAGCCTATACTGTGAAGTTGATCTTTCCTGTGGGGAGTCAGTAAGGAGGCTTTCCCAGAATTTTTTGTTGCAACTGGCATGCTGATATACTCAACAGTGGATTAAGACAGCATTGCTGAAGCTGGTAGTGGCCCCAGTTGCCTGCCTTTCCACCCCTCTAGAGATTACTGCCTTCCCAGCAGGGACAGCTCAGCTGGTTGGTGACTCAGCTTCTGAACCAGTGCAGTTTGCAGACCAGCGCATTGAGATAAACTAAAGTGGATGTCAGTTTATGCTAACGCACCAGGCTGTAAACCGCAGCAGCTCAGAAACTGCTTAACCATCTCTGCTGAAAGAGTGACAACTTTCAGAGCAAGATACAGAAGATTAGTGGGATCAGCACTTTCTACCATATATCAACACCCCCAAAAGCTACAGTTGTATTTCAGTTACTCTGGACTCACATTTTTGTGTCTGAAAACAATGACTTTCCATTTCCGGTTTCTTAATTTTTATGTTATATATATCTGGGATACCAAAGTAAAGGGTGACAGAGAATAAGGCTTTCAATTTATTCCACTGCCTTCAGAAATTTTCCCCTTGTGGTTAGCTTCCTGTAAATCATTTTTCAGATAAAGTGTTTATTTCTAGTACTTTGGTTAATTTTTAAAGGCAAAAAAATGTATCTCCCAAAATCAGATAGGATTCTTCCCTTGCTGACTTGAAAGAAACCAGGAGGTTGCCTTTGACAAGCTTGTTCGCTCCATTTCTTTTTTTTCCCCTAAAAGGTTTCAGAAAAAACTACCTTGTCTTCTTGAAGAGCGTAGCATTTCCTTAAAAATAGTCTTAATACTTGCTGTTGTTCTTTCAAGTTGTTAATTTCTAAACTATTGATTGAATATGGTCGTTCCTTCATCGTTTTAATGTGCATCTGTTCTCTTTTTATGAAGAGGAAACCTCACTTTGGGTTTTATTTACATCCTAACCTTACTGGCAATATTTTATTAGGCTTTCCAAACATTAAAAGAACAAATCAATGCTTTCACATCAGTTCATTTATTATGGGGGAACAGGCATGGAGATGGCACAGAAGGAAGGAGAAGAATGACTAGAAGAAACTACAGCAGCTGCCACCATAGAGAGACACTGTCAGAAAAAATGAGAGGTTAAGTATAGAAGACAAGATTTATCAACAAAGATTCACAGATTATATTTTAACTAACACGATTTTTTCATGTAAATGTATTCTTTAACTAAACCAAAAATACTACAACAAGGATTTTGAAATTAGTTAGGTTACACAGAATGACAACACTAAAATTTTGGATGGATTCAACTGGTCACAGACAAATTACTGCTGGATTAGTAACAGACAACAAGTTGTGTATGAATTCATTAGGAAGTAATTATTAATCTTTTTACAAAGGAGAAAACGTCTGCCATTTAATAGTTGTATTTGGAAAATACAACTGTGCTTGCAAAATACCTAGAGCGGTTAATTTCAAAAGATTCTTCCATTCTCTCATAATAACGCAACATACATGGAAATGCTCTAATAAAATGAAATCTAAAACCTTTTGGCTCTATTTTGAATGCTTGGGGTTGGAACTCAGGAAAGGCTAGAAGAAAGGCTGTAAGAAAGAGAAGCGGGAAAAAAGCTCGTAATAGGTTTGCCACTCCTGACACTAGAGACACTTTGTGGAACTTTTCACGCCAGGGCTCTTTTCCATAAGAGAAACTGTTACAGGACCAAACACTGATGGTTTATGCCTCTGTAAGCATATTGTGATTAGACTAACTTCATCTGTGGGGACCAATTTTTCAGCGCACATCAGCTAGCAGTTAATATTTGTTGTATTAGCCATTTGTTTTTCATCAAGCCTTCTGAGCCCTCAAGGCACAAAAATTAAAGCCTAAGAGTACAGTTTACAGAATTTTTTAATACCTTGAAAAGTTTTTAATATCACTTTACAAAGAGTAGAAAGGATCGAATGTGACCACAGTCCAAGATAAAACCAGACAGAAGACAGTAGTCTAGAAAATAATAATTTAAAGGATAGTTGGTTTTCAACAGGAATTTGAAAGTGAACTGTGTGGTAAACAGAATTTAAGAGACCACTACTGTCATTAGCAACTGTTTACTGACAATAAGAGGCCATAAGAAAGCAATTTTAATGGCTTTGTTTTCTGGTGTAATTTGTGCAAAAATGAAGTAACACAGTGCACAGCATGGTCTAGAAATTAGAAATTAAGTTAAGACTGTGATGTGAGCGTCCCTCTTCAGAGCTGCACAGCTTTTCCTTTCACTGGCTTTTTCTCTTTTCAGAAGGTGGTAACAAAAGAGCAACATCATTTTGGATAAACTGGGGGCAGGGGGAAATAAGACAAAGCAGGAGACAACTCTGATTGTGAAGGGGGAGAGAAAGTCTGAAATGTCAAGATCAAAAGCTTTTCCATGGGTCTGACAGAGAACTTAATATTCGAGGAGCAAGATAACAGATTTAGTTAAATTGTGAATTTCTTTTTCAACTGCTAGTCGGTGTTAATGCCAGCTCCACTGGCAGTGAGAAACCAGCAGATGTTTAAAGACACGGAAATGGAGACACACATGGTAGATGAATATTGAGGAACAGTTACGTCACATGAACTGAGTAGATGTACTTTAAAACTTTGGAGGATAGAAAGCAAGCTGTCAACTGAAAAAAACCACCTTGAACACTCAAACACCAAAAAAACAGAGGAATGGACCTTGAAAGGTTTTCTCCCGATATCGCATAGAGGAAAGACGTAGCACACGAGAAAAATCACAGAAATACATAAAGGGCCAATAGGGAGCAGGCTGAGAGTATAGAAAAAGCAAACCTAGAAACAAGGATGAAACTGCAGAGAGGATTTTGGCAGATGCTTTTTTTTTTTAAGTAACAAGAACTACTTGACATACTTATCCGATTTTACAGCAGGAAAAGGGAAAAGAAGGGGGAAAGGTTTAAGCAGATAGGAAGGTAGAGAAAAGGAGTGGCTTATAACAAAACTTGAACCTGCTAGGAGAAAACAACTCAACAGCAAAGGGAAGCAACAAAGTGAAGGAACTGGCTGGGTTTGCCAGGTCAGTGCAATAACACAGGAGCAGAAACAACTGTTGCCAATGCGGAGTCAACTCAGGCCAAGGATTAGAGGAACAAACAGCTTGTTTCAAGTGCAGAGTGAACGATTCACAAAAAAGGGAGGGTGGAGCTGAAGCACTGATAGGTCATTTATGTCATATTCTATATTTCTGAAAAATCCACTTGATTTCTGTCTACTTATGATTTGAAAATATCAAAACTAATCACACTAGTAAGAAAGCTTCAGTGACCAATCACAATATTCAAATTAATAAATGCAGCAATCCAAGTTAGTTATTCCTAAAATATCTTTCTGGAATATTGACAATGTTCGATTTCTCTGTTTCAGTGGTTTCTCTAGAAGTATCAACTATTCTACTTCCACTTAAATAATTTATTTTAGATGACCCTGGGAAACAGCCTACGACTAAATCAACTTGTACCCTGAAAAGTACTGACCACTAGAAAATCTAAAAGCTGCTTAGAAGTTATTAAAGTTTTGTAAGCTTCTTTGGATAAATATCACAAAAAATTCAAAAAACCAGCCAAATATTTTGTTTTATATATTTTGTTTGATAACAGCAAGCTATGCGCAAGTGCTGCAGAAGTAAAGAAATATTCAGGTGATTAAGAGTCACTGGGTCCAATCTTTTCATTATATCTTTTTTTCAGACATATAAGTTTTATTATTCAGTTTATCCAAAGACATTTTAAGAATGGGCTTAAAGACGAATACATCTTACACAATTTTTTTCCTAATGTGCTTCAGTGTGATCTTGAAATAGGAGATGAAATAAGAATTGGTCATCATACCATTCCAGATAGAGCTGAGAAGGAAGAAAAATACCAAGTCCTGCTTTAAGCAATTTGAAGCCTTTGTAGTGTATGTTCCAGTGCATTATTGAGTATCTTCACTATCAGAGGATAATGAGGTATATCAGTGCTATCAGTGCTATCTTGTACTATCTCACATTTCAGAGGTTTGCAACTGTTTTCCATTGTTCAGGCTAACATTGGTCTTTATACTATCCCACAAATACTTATTATGAGTGGCAAAGTACAATATAATATAAAACTTTAGTAATATCATCGATGACTTGGGACGGTTGGACTCGATGATCTCTAAGGTCTTTTCCAACCTAGAAATCTATGAATCTATGAATCTATGACTTCCATATTCCCATCAGCTTAGCTAGGAATGAGTCTTTGCATAACCGATAACTGCATTTTATTTCCCACTAGCCAGGAAATAGTACATTTTATTAAACAGAGAAATCAGCATATAGATACATCGAAACAGGGGGAAAAAAAGCCTTTTTTTTTCTGCATTGGAACCTCTGATCAATCACCTCTAATCGCACGACAATAAATACATAAAATTCCAAACAATTCCATAGCCCAGACCTGGTGAAAAACCTATGTTAGTCCACTGTGTCATGTTAACATCCAGATTCTATCACTCTTAGCTGCAAGAAGTTTATTTGTGGGATTAAGAATGCCAAAATCCAACTGTATTTAATATATATATATATATAAAAATATAGAACTAAAAATTTCAACTAAAATATTTCAATTTTTAAATCCTAAGCCAAAACCAGGTTGAAACTAGTCCAAGACAATACATCCGACGCTTAATTGTTCATATTTTATCAATGACAGGGGGAACAGATTCTGGTTCTAGTGCCATGCCATGTTTTCAGTAGACAGTTACAGAAACAAAAATCTTTAAAATGGGTGTGAATTATAAAACATCAATGTCCATATATGTAATATAAAAAAAAATTTATGAGGGACAGATGCATATATTTTGCTGTTGAATTACTACCACTGCTACACAGTATTTTGATAGTCGAACACAAATCAGCTCGCAGATTGAGTAAATAACAGCCCCTTTTTTTAAGCAGTAATGTACTATAAATTTACAGAAATTGACACAAAGTATCTATGTACTGCAGGTGCATACACGATTGTATAAAACAGAAAATATTTACCTCACCAAGTCTTTATATAAAGCTTTTGTAGTTTCCAAGTATGGGCCAACTACATCTTCAAACTGGCAAAGAGCTCCTCCAATGCAAAGATGCTTAAAAAGACAGAACAGAAATTCCTTCCGATCCGACTGACTGAATAAGTCATAATGGTCTGAATCTTCCAGGAGCAAGACCTTGTGGCACAAGAGAAAAAACAAAGAAGTCAAATAGATGAAAATTTCTTATTTGAAATTAATTTATAAACAATGCATCTACTTTGCTGTATGTCACACAGAGTTTATGTGCATATAAAATATATGAACTAGGGATGCAAACAAATTAGTTCTTCTCTCTAAATCCTTCTTCCAAGGATGCAATTACGTTCAAAATTTAGAGATACAATATAAAGCAGAATCACTGTCAGATCTGTGCCCACAGACATACAGGAAGATTTTTCAAGAGTCTTGTTATTCACTAGTTAATTACTCATTATGCTAATGAAACAATGAATAATCTGAAAATAATCTAGCTATATTTCACAGAATCACAGAATGTTAGGGATTGGAAGTGACCTCAAAGGATCATCTAGTCCAATCCCCCTGCCGGAGCAGGACCACCTAGATCAGATCACACAAGAACGCGTCCAGGCGGGTTTGGAACATCTCCAGAGAAGGAGACTCCACAACCTCTCTGGGCAGCTTGTTCCAGTGTTCTGTTACCCTTACTGGGAAGAAGTTCTTCCTCATGTTTAAGCGGAACCTCCTACCTTCCAGCTTATATCCACTTCCCCTTGTCCTATCATTGGATGCCACTGAGAAGAGCCTGGCTCCATCCTCATGACAGTCACCCTTTACATATTTATAAACATTAATGAGGTCCCACCTCAGTCTCCTCTTCTGCAAGCTAAAGAGACCCAGCTCCCTCAGCCTTTCCTCATAAGGGAGATGCTCCACTCCCTTCATCATCTTTGTGGCCCTACACTTGACTCTCTCAAGCAGTTCCTTGTCCTTCTTGAACTGAGGGGCCCAGAACTGGACACAATATTCCAGATGCGGCCTCACCAGGGCAGAGTAGAGGGGGAGGAGAACCTCTCTCGACCTACTAACCACACCCCTTCTAATACACCCCAGGATGCCATTGGCCTTCTTGGCCACAAGGACATACTGCTGGCTCATGGTCATCCTGCTGTCCACCAGGACCCCCAGGTCCCTTTCCCTTGTGCTGTTCCCCAACAGTTCAGTCCCCAACTTGTACTGGTACATGGGGTTGTTCTTACCCAAATGCAAGACTCTACACTTGCCCTTGTTGTATTTCATTAAATTTTCCTCGCCCAACTCTCCAGCCTGGTATGTTGATCACTGCCAATTAGCTTGTCTTTGGTAATGTTGCCTACATTTGCTTTTTTACTCTAAGTTTACATAGTTGTCTCACATTTGTACAGGAATCTCAAGGATGTCCCAAAGGAGATCACTCAAACTCCCATAATTCTTTACTGCAGACTCTAGTGAGCTTTTATCTGTAGCCTGGATAAACCAGACACACTATTCAGCTGCCTCCATGTGTCCCACCTCCCTTTTGCTGCAATATTATGCGAACACAGAAGACGCACTGGATCAGTCCCAACACTGTCCACTGTAAGGGTGGATGGGAATTGTAACTCAGTATGCCAACGGGATGTCTGAGTCACATCAGTTTGCAGAAGCAAACTCTGGCAAACCGCTTAAAACTAGGCATGGTAGTTTTAAACTCTGGCCCTCTTTACAATGTCACTACACAACCTGAGTGAAGAAGGATCTGGGAAGCAGCTGTCCTTGATGGCCACTTCCTACATATCCCAACCCCCTTCTTGGTTGAAGCAAGAGAAGACATGGCAGGTAGGAGAGAAACATGGAGTTTTGCAGATGAGAGCCACCCTCTGACACCAGGAGACAGACAGTTTGCTGCCCTCTATGGTCTACTGTCCCAGGCACTGACTAATTTAGTCTGAAGCTTTGATGTCGATCCTGGAAGATTTTGACTCTTAATTTTTTCTGCCGTCTTACGTCTTATGAGTAAGAGTCACGTTCATTTCAAACAAATGTGAATCCTTTAGCTTGCAAATGAAGATACACACATCCCTTCCAAGGGAAGGAAAATTGAAAAAGACTGAAATTCCAATGATTTCTTATTTTAAATGTTGCCTGTAACTTTCCTACATCCAATATACTTAATTTTCAGAAAACACTTCACACGTACCCGACTTACAAATAAATACACAGCATTCTCAACTGCCAGGCTACAAGTCACATCTGAAATTCAAACATGAGCTTGAGTTCTCTCCTTTTCCCAGAACTTTACAAGACAGACCAGTATTTCAGGCCACATCCTGTAACCAGTGTCACTGGTTCAAATACATTGCCTTCAAAGCATTTGCCAAGCGCAAATGAGTGCAACTCTGTAATTATTAAGTACTTATGATGATTATACATACAAGGAAGAGCAAAATCCAGTTCTCCCACACTATGCTTTGCTAATGCTAAACAAACATAAGTTAAAAAAATCAGTTTAGCTTATGAAGTCAAAAGAAACACAGTGAAGACATATGTTGATCAAGAAGGTGCCACTGTTAAGAGAGATTGTTTTTCACAATGATCTGCTCTCTAACACCTCCGCTGGAGTATAGCAAATGGTTTTTACCTTGCAGGTCTGTTTAGGAGTTTAGTCCTTTTCCAGTGTTACACTGAAAAATAATTTCCTTTTTCATAGACTCCTCTTCTTTGTTTCAGTGAAAATACATGAAGATACCTTTCCTTAAATGCCTTCACACATGATATGGTCAGTATTCCTGGCCAGGAATGCTTCAGGGTGTAACTATTGAGTACATTCAATTTCATCAGCTACCTGGAAGGTTAGGCGAACCCACAGCTCTGGGTATCATGGGACCTTTCCTTTAGCACCACTTGTTTTCCCCTCCTTGACAAATGAGTAGCTGCATTTCCTGCCCCCCCACAAGCACTGACTACTTGACACAAGGGTGAGTAGAAGAAGGTTTTACCTTTTTCTCCCACCTGAAAAGGAAAGATGGCCCACCTGGAAAACATCCATTGCTTTCACACATTCAGGCACTCTAGTGCCTCTGTCATTTCTATCACATGGATATTGATGCTCATTTTTACCATGGAAAGTATGTATTGTCAGAAAAAAACAAATACTGAAAAATACGTTCTTACAGTACCTGAGTATGGAAAATCATAAGAAATTATTCAATGTTGTACTGACCTTCCTTAGTTCATCAGAGATGAGAATATCATTATAATAGTCATCGTAACATTTCACAATATCTCCAGTTTCTCTAACAACTCCTTCAGAGTACAGCCGATCAAAAAATGACATGGAAATCTGTGTACAGGGCACCACTGTAGCTTCAATTTTTGTCACTTTGGAACCTGGAATATATAGGAAGGCTTCACTCTATGTTCATTGCAATAAATAAAATAGGAAAATTTCCATGGACTAGTGGTTTTACAGTAATTCTTAATTCAACGCAGTGTGGAAATAATCAACTTCTGTAAATGAATATGTGTGGCATATTTAAAAAAAAGTACAGATCACATAAGTATGACTTGATCACACAGTCCCTCAAAAAACAAAGCAAACTAAGAAAGAAACAAGTGTAGAGAAAACATTAAATTCATCTGAATGTTATCTTCCACTAAGGATCACGTCTGCTCCCCTGTTGGCAATACTATCAACCGAAACAAGTCATAGATGAAACACCATGGGAACTCAACATCACATTAGATCACACCCTTAGAAAAACATATTCCACAGATTAATCCTTGAAGGATCTGAGGACAAATCCCAAATTGGGCATGATGAAGTACAAAAGTCAACAGCTGCTAACAGCACCCCACAAAGAGAAAACCAAAATTAACACAGCCCTGATGAATTTTTGGTAAGTATTATATCTGAACTCTTTGAAAAGTTACTTCATGGCTACTGTAAGCTTTACTAACCAGCTATTTCAGAAGATGAAAAAGGTGCTACAACCACTTCACATATGAATCAGGAGTATAATTTCTGTAACCATTAACTGTAGAGTACATTTTTCTATAATTTTTCTGTTTTCTGTGCTTGCAAGTCATCCGAGGCTTGATTGTGTAGCTCATAGACATCTAGTGCCATTTGAGTTGCCCTACAGTATTTTCCTCAATGAGTTTTCACTCCATAAGGGCATATATGTTCTCTACATACAGTGTTACAGCTACAAATCTCTATGCATGGTGTTGGATAACTTAAGGCATCTCAAACAGCATCAGACTCCATGTTTAAGAAGCTTTGGATTCAGTCCAGTTCCATCTGCTTTCTGTGATCCAAGTGTTCAGACCAAATGTTAGAACATATTCTCTACTCATCTCGAAGTTCCCCTGAACACCCTTCAAAGTGCTTCTGCACAGGAGAGAGGAGGAGAGCACAAGTGACCGTGAGCACGAGTATGAACCAAAGGCAATGTGTCTCAGCAGAGATAATATTCGCAGCCTTCCAGCTTTTCACGAGTTTACTCTTATCTCTTCTCCTCTGTAAGTTCCCTTGATGGGAGACCGGTCAACCACATCACAATATCAAAAGGCTTTTGACCACACACAATTAAAGGCAAAATCAAATGGTGTCCTGACAAACTGACCTAAAGAATCACTAAAGACTAGTGTTTAGGAAATGTCCAAATTTCACTCTAGATGACACTATTTCAGGAACAGAAAGATGCCAAAAGGGACGTATGAACCATGATGCTTCCAAGAGCACCTATTATTTCATTCTGATCCTAATCTTTGCAAGCGTGGCGTAACCTAAAACTTCTCTTGCCCCTACACTTCCAGAAAGTCCTTGAGATTTCTCCCATGTATTATTACATGGAGATTATTTATTTAATTTAAGTAGGACTGGCATTTTGGTACCTAAACCCAGATAAACTGTACCACCTACCTGATCAACACTAAGAAAAAAACTAAAGAGAAGTTACAAGTTGATGGCTTGAAAATGTGTCTACTTAAGCTAAAAATACTGGCTTGAAATTTTGTAATTATTTTATTGGGCCAATGTGACATAAAGAAAATTGTCTATAGAGAAAAGCGTGGCATTTAATTGCTGGGCTTCACATCTACAGATATGCTTGTGAAAAAGGGTACATCAGATAAAACGTTTAGGACATTCTCCTACCTGTCCACAAAGTGAATATTAAAAAATAATCAAATTATGTAACCAAAATCACAAGTCAGAAAAAAACATGACCTACAGCCTCACAACCTAAGGAAAAAAAAAACAAATGTATTTTTATTTATTTTTTTATTTATGCTTCCTCCCTCACCTCCAGACTCCTCTACCTTCTAATTCTCCAGCTTTCTTTCACAGAGATAGAATTTTTATTTTGTAAGAGATTTAATGAGAGCTAAATCAGCCTCTAACATAGAAATTACTTTGTAAAGACCTATGAAGCAAAAACTGAGTCAAGACTAACAAAAATCAGATGTTAAATGACTTGAGAAAAAAGAGACATCTTACATTTTGCCAGTTATTGAGCTCAAAGTATAAGGAATTGAGCTATTTATAGGCCTTCAAATTGTTAGGATTTTACTGGGGGAGAAGGAGGAGGAAAGGAGACACACTTCTGGTCTGAAACAAGTTTTTATGAAAACCTTCATCAGGAAAAAGAAATCAAGAGCTTTGTAATCTATTCAGTAGTTCAGAAAACCAAACTATAAATGGAAAAGTTTAAATATACTAGAAGCTCCTATTCTCCATTTGAGAGGTGAGATTTGAAATTGGAGATTCAGAATTTCCTGGAAAAGAGTGACCAGTTTTAATAACACTGTAAAAGTGAGCAATAAAATAGGAAGAAGAAATGCTTTCTTAACAACTCTGCAAGTGGAAAACAAAGAGCTGAGAAGTACTGAAGCAGATAAAGCTTTTTATAACAGCCAGCTCTGGAGTATCTATGAAGTGCTGCCAATATACTTTTAAATGAACACCTTGCATATCTATTATGGGGCAGATAAACCTCAGATTAGGTATATTTAGAATTCCTCCAAAGTTTAAGAATGATTTGTACCTCAGGGACAAATCGATTTGTTTACAAAGCTATTTACAAAACAGTTTATATAGAACACATGTAACGCAAGTTCAGTGCTCTGTACTAAAAAGACGGTATTTCAAAAGTAAAAGCTGCAGGTTGATGATCTATTGGTTCAAATGACCTCTAAAATTTTTGCAAATTATAACCTGTAACAGTAGTCTAAAAAATTGCTGATTAAAGATTACATTCCAGATTTTAAAACCCCATTCCAAAGGCAGCAATCGTTAGAGCTTCAATTGCAGACAACTCAAGACTCTTTCTTAGGCAAATACTAAATTTTTATTCACCAAAAAAGACAGTAACCCTATGCCTTTGAAGATAACTTTTCAAGTGTTAATTGAGCTTAAGCAGATACAGTCCTGCCTCCCCAAGACTGCTGACAGGTACAAGACCACTAATGTGTCCAAAGAAAAACTACTCCTTAGTTTTCATTGCAACTATTTAAAAACACAAGACTCAAGACATAAGTTGCTATGCATCAAATTTGTTCCTTTTGCTGCTTCTATTTCAGAAATATGAGATTAAGGGATGAAGGAGGGGCTTAAAGCACATCACAGAACTATCAGGTACTCTGCCATGCAGCGAGGAAGAGGGGGAAAATATCCCTACTGCAATAGGCAAAAGAAGTGTGTGTGAGAATAAGTAATTAAGTATCAGTCTGGTATCGGTCTGATCAAATGAAGCGGACTAGAGAATATCCTCGTGTATTGTTTACCTAAAATCTTGTATTTCAAGTAATGTTAAAGCTGGAGTCCTTGAGACAATGTACTATTTGTGGCATTCCCCCAGGAATCCCAACACATGGGGGAGCTGGAAAGAGGTACATGTTGCATTCCTTGGGGACTCCATGTTTGATGCCACCTTTTGATCTAACAGATGGAGACTGAGGATATTATGGTCTGATGATATTAAGGTGAGGATGAAAAGCAGTCAAGAGAACAAAAAAATGAGATTAGACACAGGAAAACGGTAATAAAGAACTTTTAGAAACAGATTTTAGGAAAAGAAGACGGACAAGTAACAGAGAGGAGGCAGGAATAAACATGAAAGTGAAACCACACCCACTGAATTAAACCCAAATTCTCAGTGAGAAAGTAAAAGAGGATCACAGCCTGAAAAAGAGAAAATAATTATGAAAACAAACACTCTCGTAAAGTAATATTATGTTGATGTTTTATATAATGCTGACATCTTTCTGTGAGTCCATAAATACTTTCTGCCCAAGCTCACGGAGGGAGGGAGGTTTCTAAGAACCTATCCAATCCCACCTACATTATGCATTTAAAATATCTCACCCCTGCAAAAAAAACCCTGACATTTTTGTTTGCAAGGGAATAACTACAGTATTTGAATCATCCCAGATTATGTCATATTCTTCAAATTTTCTAAAATGCAAAATAAGCCCATTTCTAGTATTTTATTTCAAGAACAGGAACTTGTTTTTAACAGAGTTATTCCACAGTGATAAGTAAATGGTATATCTGGACGAATATATCGGCGTGTCTGAAGAAGAAAGGACTAGAAGATGATTTTTTTACCTCCTCCCACTCAACGCTAATTCTTACTATATTTTCAAAAAATGCACATGAAGACTAAGCATAGAAAAATGTGCCAACATTCCTCACCAAAAATAGGCAAAGAATGGGAAGATGAAATTTTAAGAGCAAATGGGGTACACCAGCTGTTCAGGATTTAGAAAGGGAACCCTTCCAGTCCTCAGAACCAAACGCATTACTTCTGTGCTGAGGAGGACTGAGCAGAACCAGGCGCTAAGAGGGGACACTTGGCAAGTGACCCCCCGCTCTCCACACGAGGTATGTAACCTACCGACCTTCACTACCGGGACTGGCAAGTCACAGGCTAGACAGACAGCCTAAAAAAATTCTTGCCTAAAGCAGGAAAAGGTTTACACACGGTTTGAAATATACTTATTTTCTTTTTGCTTGCCAGAGTGAAAAAGAGGTACCTGAAGGGGAACTTGAAATATTTTTTGCATCTTATGTATTTCAATTGTTTTAACAGCCGGATACAGTGTTTGGAAAATGGATTTCGCTCACAAAAAGGTGGCACTGTCTAGTGTCATTGTATATAGTAGGGGAAACCTATGCCAATTTCAGAGTTCGAACGGAAAAGTTAGAAAATTCCCAAAGCTCCATTAAATATTTACACACAGTAAAGTATTTGCAGACAAACCAGAAGAACTGAGGACTTCTTACTACCTCCTTTTAAAATACCCCTATTGAGGAAAATCACTTCGGTGTTATCAGAGTTCACATTATGCAGAAAATCCCGTTACATTATCACATGTAAATTCCACGAAATTTTGCGTGTCAATTGCATAATCAAAATTACAATTTCAGAGTGGCGCCATAAAATCACGTGCTCTTTGCTTTTGGTCTGTCTCCTTTAGTGTCTCATCTCCATCTACAGGCACAATCAGGTGTTCTAAGCAGCCAATGACACGACAACGAACCAGAAGTCACCTTAATGCCACGATGGCAACCAGAGCAATCTATCACACGTCTCTCCTTCTGCGCCCAGATCACTTTTGTTGCACAGACAGCATACTTACACACGCTCGGGGCGCTGCTCTGTCTAATCTCCTACTCTCTCAACTTTAATTTGTAACAGAGCAATAATCCCAGATCTGTCCTAAGTCAGGCGGTTGCATAGAGCGTCTTTCTCCAAATATTACCTGACTAAGGTTACTGCTGTAATTCCACAATTAATGCAGCTGATTATGTCTGGATACATGATCAGGTCAACTACATGTCACAGACCATGTAAAAACAGTTCTAATAGCTTGGTTTGTGGATCAATGCAGGAGTCAATGAAAAAAAAAGTGTAAAATCTGGTAATTTAGTAACAAACTAGGGAAGACTCTTTTCTTATTATTTAGTAAAAGAAGTCATTTTTAAAGATATTTCAACCAAGTGAAGATACACATATATGAACTGTCATTATTACAAAATGATAAATTAGAGGAAAATAGTTACAACACAGATTTTTTAATTAAAGATTAATTTATTCTAAATTTACCCAGTGTAGTCCATTGTCCGGAAGACGAGAGCACCTTTAAACTGGAGTTCACATTTTGATCATTAAAAAATGCCTACAATATTCAAATAACAGAATACAAGTTAATGAAGTGAAACATAAAATAATCGTTGATAATGCCTTGGATACTTGCAAAGCAAATTATAAGGATCCAATTAGTAAGTAGATTCTGCGTGATCTTTCAGTTTGGATACTAAATGTCACACCTTCGAATACATGTTTTTGAAACCTTGTGTAGCCAGTGTCTTTTATATATGTAAGATACTCTCATGTACATATTTATATATGTAGTATTAAGGTTTTACAGTAAAGCACTTTCAGTCCAAGAACACACAAAAAGGTTGTGTGAAATCCTTGGCGGTACAGAAAAAAGAAGACGAGATGAAACAATTCCATCTCTGCATGCAATGTTGTTGAAGTAAAAAACGAAATGTTAAGTATGATCGTAAAATTTACATTTTGTAAATAAATTTGAAGCTTGGAGAAGTGTAGAGACACACAAAAATTATTAAACACATACAGAAGAAATCCGTAAGTTATTGAAGGGATAGAGAAGATGTTCCAAAGTAAGATTTGAAGTACTCAATCTTATTGATTCGTGAATTAAAAAAAAAGGAGACATGCATAGTAACATTGGTAGCTGACAACTTTAAATGATAGATAAGCCAATTAAGAAAACCCACCCTTATGTATATGCATACAAGCAGAGCAAATAATCTTTGAAGAAGTTCCTAAGACAATTATGTTTTTTTCAGTCTTTGCATCACCGAATCTCTTTACCAACTCTCTGGGATACAGAAAGATCAGAATATATAATGTAATGGTCCCTTTGTTCTCAATTAATTCACAGCTACTCAGAGCTCATCATTTCATAGTGATAATTTTACATTTTTAATTCAAAAGATACTAGCATTGAGAAGGTAAATGCATATTTTGTAAACTTCAATCATTTGAAATGTGTATCAGTGGGAGATGAAGCATTGATGTGTTTCTGTATGAATTTCTTTAAAATACAAAGTGGCTGAATTCTTTATCTAGGATAACAATATAAAGTAGACATACAACAAATCAAAGAGCTGTTTTGAAAACAACAGATGTAAAACCCACCCTGTTTTTAAAACCAGCTATTGTTTTTTTTTTCTGTCTGCAAATAGATTAATAGATTTGACTTTGCAGACAACAAAAGTGGAGGACACAAAATCAGCAAGAGACTTGAATCTCAAAAAGCAGAGAGCCCAAAATTCTGGTATAAAGCAATGATATCCAATAAATTTTAAAATCTTGCATTTTCAGCTATATGGTGCACATGCACATCTAATTGCATGGTGTATTTACTGTGACAAAGCAATACTAGCTGTGAGCAAGGGTACCAACTGCATGTACACTGTTTAAAGTCTCCCTTTGGGTGGACTTCCCAGCATTAAATGTGGTGCCAAGATCAGCATCCAGTTCAGATTCCCATTCTTGGGAATCTTGAATGACTAAACTGTTCCGTCTCGAAACAGAGCAACATTAGTACAGACCAAATATTTTTACTGGACAATACAGTTAACCCACAAAGACTTGAGCACCACACCTAAATCACCTACTTCCAAGGAGACAGTGAGCAGGCAAATAGCATGTCAGCAATGCTACAATGCTTGCCATTATGCAGTTTTCCAATAGCTATAATTTAATGGAAAAAAAAAAAAGGCAACTTAAAATATAAAGTACTTAGAACTACCATAACGAATTCATCCTTTTGATAGGGCTTAAACTGCTGATCAAAACTGAACGCTTGTGCTGTGATCCTGCCTTGCATGGACCTGAAACAGAAAAATGAGATGAAACATTCTGCAGGCATACTAGGTACTTATTCCCTCTGCAAATTTACCTAGGATACTGCACATAAAGTCTTATTCTGACAAATAATTATACTTTTTTCTTTTTTTCATTCTCACTTAAAACCGCCTCCCAAGCCCCCGAGGAGGGGTGGGGGAAGCACAACCGCTCCTCAAGCACCATCAGAGCAGCGCTGAGAAGCTGAGGTAGATCCTGGTTAACTCTGGAAAACACGGGTAAATACCTCGCACCTCAGAACAAGCGTTTTACCTGCCTGAAAAATAACGAGGAGCCTCCCAAGGAAAGTGGAAAAAAAAAAAAAAAAGAAAGAAAAGAAGAA